AGCTTTAGTAGTCTACTTGCAGCTTTGAGAGTGGTGAGAGTGGTGAGACCCAGTTTGTGTTACCGAGGGTGGTTTGTGAGTATTCGGATGTCTTTCCCGAAGATCTTGTTAGTTTGCCACCTCACGAGAGATAGAGTTCTCTATTGATTGTGCCGACGGCGCCGATTTCTATGGCACCTTACCGTTTTGCTCCAGCAGAGTTGGTTGAGTTGAAAGTTCAGCTCCAGGAATTGCTAGATAAGGGTTTGTTCGCCCTAGTGTTTCACCGTGGGAGCACGGCCTCTTTGTTAAAAAGAACTCACTCTCGCTCGAGCGACCAACTCCTCGCTCGAGCGAAGGTCCAAAAATCTGGGCAGCAACACTAGGCTCCCAAACACAACCAACCTGAAACAAACCTGCCCAACACATCCTATAACTCAATATACCAGTAAAGAGGATGCAAACAAGATAATAAACAACTACCAACATCCACGGACACATGTCCGGATCACTGTACAACAAGGGTAAACCCGGGATCGCTATACAAATTGAATCTAAAATATTTTAAAGAAAACTTTGGTGGAGGACCCTTGATACCTTAGTAACCTTTTTTTCATAGTCATGTTATTTTATCTTTTAGCTAATTATTTTTCTCAGATTATTCAATCATTTCAAAAATTCAAAATCATATTTTTCTTTATTTAATTTTAGTGTTCGGTAATTATTTTGAACAAACCAATCCATGTGGATTCGACCTCGGACTCACCGAGTTATATTACTTCGCGACATCCTACACTTGGGATTGCAATATAAAAGTTGTAGCGTCTTACACTTAATGACTAACTCACTTAAGCTCGTATATCTTGGATGGTGTGATTCTTCGATATCGCTTCATCCAATGATGCAACATTATTAAGAATCAAACTACAAACTCAATCTGCACAACTCAATAGTCAAGATCCCATCTAGATCTATTGAGACAACTCCAAATTTGTCAATCAACAACACTTAGCATGCCACTCATAATAATGCACACATCAATTTGTGTTGCGCCAATCAACAAAAAAAATAATAATAAAAATCACGGCAACATTGAGTCATGTTTCCTTACTTTGGCTAAACTAAGATCTGACCTAAAGTCTGCGGGACTTTATACTTATTTAAAAAATAGGATTACATTAATTGTTCATAATTGAATATCTCTAGTAAATCTAGGTCAACCAAACTAACTTCCACAACTAAGTCATTTTAGAAGGGGGGAAAATGTGCATTGAGATTTGATTTGATTAACATATTACAACATAATTTTATCGCAAAAATTTAAATAAATAGTGACAATACTAAACAGGTTGCAAGATACAAAGAATTGGAAATTCCCTGCATCTTGTCAACATACATGGCATTCGCAAGATCAACTAAACCTTTACAGGATGAAAACATAATTTAAAAACTCAAGTAGTGTTTAGAGCAACTCTGAAAACATGATTCCAGTGCATTTTTCAATGTTTTGTTTGGTTTAAGTTTTTAAAAATTAATTCTAATAAAACTTATTTCAGATTATGTTTGAAGTGCAGAGAGTTTTTTGAATTTTAAATTTTGAAAAAAGCGAATTGGGTTTACCCGGTCATTCTCCTGGATGTCTGGCCGGTTGACTGAAATAGTTTTTTTTTTGTGGGCAATTGGCACCTATTATTTGAAAAAAAATTTTGAGAAGTTGTGTTTGATTTTTTTTAACAAAAAATAATATATATTTTTTTATATTTTACATAAAAAAATAGTTTCAGAATTTTTTCAAATTTTTTAAATAAAAAAATTATTGTTATCAAAAATTATTTTTTTGAATTAAATTTTAAAAAGAGTTTGATTATGAGTTTTGAATATAATTTTGAGTTGTGTGTTTAGTTATGAGTTATAAGTTTTTGAATAAAACAAGTTGTCTAATTTAAAAATTCATTTTAAAAATTTAAAACTCATAACCAAATAAATTTTATCTTTTAAAATCATAATTCAAAAATTTATAAATTTAAAATATAACTTCACACTCAAATTATAATTTTACAACTCTGTCAAACGCTACCTGAGTTCTTTCTTGCCTTGTTTTATTTTATTCTTAGAAAAATGTTCCATTCGCACAAAGACCCCCGAATGAGCCGGCAGTCATGCTACTCTCTTTTCTCTTTTTCTCTAAAACAGTAAACAGTTGCTTTTTCTCTTTTACAACCTTTGTCTTCTCTCAAAAATAGAGCTCTATCTCACTTTCGAGACAACTATGAAGCATGAGTAGTCTAAAAATGTTGCCGTATAAGTACCGAGTACTTATCAGGTGTGGATGCGGGTACGCGTACCGGTACGGCTGCACGTATATTGGGCATGCCAAAAATGCACCAGGTACGTTTTATACGGTCAGTATAGTAATGGGTGTGCCATGGGTACTCTAGGATAAAAAAATGAGATTTTTTATAAATTAAAGGGTATTGGAGCAATTTTTTGTGTCTATTTTAAAAAATTATAAAAATCTGGGATTCTTTTGTAATAAATAAAACATGAACCCAAATAAAATTAGGGTTCTATTATTCATCATTCGATCATCTCATCTCCTTCCAGTATCTCCTTCCGAAATACTCCAAGACTGAAGAACTTCGAAGGTGCTAGGGTTCCATGTCTATTCGATCATCTCCTTCCAAAAATACTCCCAAGAGAGTCTGAGGAACACTTCGAAGGTGCGATTGAAAGGTTTAATCGAAGGTGCTGCTGATTGATTCTCTCTTTCGAAGGTGTGATTGAAGAGGTAAGTTCATCTTCGATTCTTCCCCCTCTTCTTCTTCGATTCTTCATCCTCTTCCTTTCATGTTTTTGTGCTATTTCTTCGCAGCAAACGATCGATTCTTCTCTTCTCTTTGATTCTCTCTTTCTTCTTCTTCTTCTTCTTCTTCTTCTTCTTCTTGAACTTTCTCTCTCTTTTTTTTCTTTCTTTTTTCTGATATATGTCCAGATTTTTGAACTAAGATTTGTCCAGATTATTATTATTTTTTTCTTGATATATGTCATATATATGAATGCAATATGATACTTGTCACTTGAATATATATTTTATTCAATATATGCACTATATTAGATCTGTCCAAATTTTTATTTAAATACTTGAAAAGTTATATACTCGAATGAAGTGAAAAAATTCACAAATTATTTTGTTAATAGTTAAATTATAGGAATATGACTTCATCAGGAAGTATAGCGTTATCATATTATAGTTTCATTAGGGTTATCTTTTATTTTTGTTTAGCGTGTTTTTGACATTAAACTCTCTTTTCTAATTTCTTCTATTATATTTCTATGTAATAATGACATTAGAGCAGCTGGATGTTATAAATAAGTGTATTTTTTTACTTTTCATAAAATATGGGTTGGGATTTGAAGTGACGTGATTTAAATAAGATTACGTGACTTAAATTGAACGACGATTTTTTGATTTTTTTTTCCTTTTTCTTTTGAAGATGTCAAACTTAGCCTTACTCTTTTTCTTTTTCTTTTTTTGTAATTTCTCTTTTTAATTATGTTATTGAACTTTAATTGGTGTGTTGGATGTTTAGCTATAAATTTTTTTTAAAAAAAAAATTGCCATACCCGTACCTTACCTTTTTTTTTTTTTAATTTTAAATTTTCTGTATGGGCGTACCCGTATCGAACCCGCACCAGTGCTTCCTAGCAAGACAACTAGGGTTTCGAGTTAGGCTTCCATTTCTGTTTGAGAATCATAACTAACTATTGCTTCCTAATTTCTTATTCTGTTAGGTTTAAATAAACCCAACCCACTGAACTAAAGTCGAGAATCATGCAAACTTACCGGGTGAGTTTTATGTACATTGATATTTCTTTTTATTATTATTATTATTATTATTATTATTATTATTATTATTATTATTATTATTATTATTATTATTGTTCCATGAGTAATTTTATCTTTATCCACCATTGTTGTTGTTTTGTTTTTTGAAGGCAAGCTTCGAAGGTACAATTTGGATTAAAGGTGACATTTCTCAGGCTACAGAGGTGTATTTCAATGAGAAAATGCCATTTCACCTCAAAAAGTTTCCATCGGATGAAGAACCAAAGAAGATAGTGAAGGCTTTAAGGGAGAATTGGCACCCCAACTTTGCCAACATCTCCCCAATTTTTCAGATTCTCCCTCTTCCTTCTAGTTGCTTATTTTCTTTTTTGTTTTTTATTTTGGAGATTTTTGTTTATTTTTTAATTCATTATAGCCTTCTAGTTAAATCTATACAATATTTTTGTCATTAAATGGTTAATATAAATGTATGATTTAGAATATAGTTTGGTTTAAGGGTAATGGTATAGCGATCCCGGGTTTACCCTTGTTGAACAGTGATCCGGACATGTGTCCGTGGATGTTAGTAGTTGATTATTATCTTGTTTACATCCTTTTTACTTCGTATTTGAGTTATAGGATGTATTGGGCAGGTTTGTTGCAGGTTGGTTGAGTTTAGAAACCAAAACTAGTTGCCCAGGTTTTGACCTGTCCGCTCGAGCGGGGGGGGTTGGCGCTCGAGCGGGAATTACACCCATCCAGTATTTTCCTGTGCAGGGTTGGACGCTCGAGCGTGGAATTGGTCGCTCGAGCGGGGTTGTGTGGGTGCCGCTCGAGCGGGGAGTTGGAAGCTCGAGCGATGGCCTGGTTCTGTAAAAGTTCTGGGAGTGTGTATCCGCCGCTCGAGCGGGATTGTTGACGCTCGAGCGGGAGTCTGTGAGTGACGCTCGAGCGGGGTGTTTGACGCTCGAGCGGGTCGACTGGGTTTAAGTTCCGTGTTTTGACTTTTCAAATCACTTTTTCACTTTCTCTTCTCTCTCCTACTTTTCCAAAACCACCATTGTTGAGCCTCTCACTCTAGAACTCTACCTTCTCTCTAGGTTTTGATCTAGTAGGAGTGATTTGCCCACCTTTGGCCTTTACAAAAAAGTAGTTGATCGTCGAGGGCTACTTTTTAATCTGAAAATTTTGAGATTTGGAGCACGTTGGGTTTTGTCATCTTCTCCTTTGGGGCTCCGAATTTGAGGTAGGGATATCCTACTCCTCTCTATGGATTTTGTCTTTAAATGGGTCTTACATCCGAGAGTATAGACACCTGGTAGATGCCGCTACTCATATGGAAATTATGATGCAGGAAGAGGAGGAAGAGCAGAGGGGCTCCAAG